GTGTGTGTGTGTGTGTGTGTGTGTGTGTGTGTGTGTATGCATGCATGCTGGGGTTCATTTCCCAACTGTAAAACAAAAAGGATTTTTATTTTTGCTATAATTCTAAATTCACTGAAAAGTTATAAGAATAGCATAAAGGAATACCATGTAACTTATAAGATCAGTAATGTTGTGAGTTTTTGGCTTGCATGTATGTCAGTGCATCGAGTATGTATCTGGTGCCAGCAGAGGCCAGAAAGGGTGTTGAATCCCCTGGAAATGGAGTGACAGAGAGTTGTGAACCACCATGTAGGTGCTGGGACCTGAACCCACATCTTCTGGAAGGGCAACCAGTACTGTTAACCTCTGAGCCATCTCTCCATCCCCCCAAGTAACTTTTCACCCAGATTCATCAGCTTTGTCAATAAGCTTTTTCATTTATGTTTCTGTATATTTCTGTTACATTTTTATGAACCATTCAGAAATTCACTTGGAGAGAGTGTATCTGTTTATCACTCTGTACTTTAGTGGCTTTCCTAAGAGGGAGGACATCCTTATATAATCTCAGTACAATGACCAAGGTCAGGAGTTTATCAGTGATGAGACTGTTCTATAACACATTGCACAAATCTAAATTATAAATTATTATGGCATGGTATTGAAATGTTATCAGCTTGCCTGGTGGTTTTTGTTTGTTTGTTTGTTTTTTCTTTCCTGATCCTGGGGATCATCCATCAGGCTCATTTGTCACATCCTTAAGAGTCTTCTGATCTGGAGGAGACCCCCCTTTTTCTTGGTTGAGGTGTAGGGACAGGGCTCACATATCCCCTGCTGCCCTAGAACTTGCTGTGTAGCTGAGAATGACCTTGAACTAGTGATTCTCCAGCAGCTTCCTCCCAAGTGTTGGTTTACAGACAGGCTATCCTGTGTTCTTCCCACCCTCCAGCTTCTTGGCCTCTCTCTGCCATTCTGACCTTGATGTTTTGAAAAGTAGCCTGATGTCCTATAGTTTACACTTGTCTAGTGTTCCCTGGTTGGATTCTAATGATGATGGTGATGATGATTATGATAATGGTGATGGTTGTCTGTGTCAGAGGCTGCACACACAAGGAGCCTATGGGGAGCCCCACCTGGGCCTGAGAGGAGTTGTAAGAGGGCATGGGGTAGGGTGGGCAGGGGTTACCTCTGTCATTGGAAGCAGTTGCACAGTAGCTGAAATGAGAACCTCTTGAAACCAGAGCTAGTTATTGAGCGTTAGTTCAATACATACTGCTATTTTGGGAGTGCATCTATGTCATGGAGGCAGCAGATGACCGCATGGATTGAAATGTGGCTTGGAACCTGCTGAGTGAGAAACAGTATCTGTTTTGAACTTGTCCCTAGAAAGTCTACAATCCCAGGAGTGTTGCAGTTCTGTTCTGGTCATCCTTGTGATTGTTAGACCCCCTGGAAAACTCAGGTATCCGGGGTCCCAGGCCACGTTCGCGGTCACCCCAATCACCAGGCGGATTCGAGAGCTTGATGCAAACTGCACGAGGCTTTATTGTAATTTAACAAGCTGACCCCATGTTAGCTCGGGTCTTTCACCCACCCGCCATGGCG